AGCTGGCTAGAGATGCATCTTTATTGTATATGCTAAGACATTTTCTTTGCTTTTTAATTTCTAAAAGTATGCTTTGTTACTCTGTTCTCTTTGTGCCTTATTTTTTTCTTCATTTTGTCATTTTGATGCAGTTTGGGAAGAGAGGAGGGAAATGTGGCCATAATATTTAATCCGAAATGGATCGGGTATTTATAGAGAATATATTCTTTAGAATTTTGCCATGATGCTTTTGAATAGCGGAGTAAGTTTGGTAGGCTTTGTGAGAAGTTAGGCTGGTGGTGGAGTTATGTATGCTCAGGAAGTCCCAAACTTTCCTGCGATTTCTTTTTCTTTTTTTCTTTTCTTGTCTTTTTTGGTCTTTTTGAGACAGGGTCATTGCTATGCAGTTCAGGCTGGTCTTGGGCTCACTTTGTAGCCCAGGCTGCTCTCCAGTTTGCAGTGATCCTCTTGCTTCAGCCTCCTAAATGCTGGGTTCACAGGTGCCACCACTCCTAGCTTCCTTTGATTTTTTGCACTGATACCAGCCTGGAATGATCCTTCTCCCATTAGAACTCTACTACTTGTTTTTCAGAAGCCTTGGCCACTCTCTTCCAGGACATCAAATTTTCTTTATTTTACCAGTTGTGACCATGTCCACTGTGTGCTGAGAGCTGTCCAGCACAGTAGCCCTTGTTACATGTGGCTGCTGAGCACTTGAGATGTGAGCAGTCTGAATGAATGTATCCTCAAAGTATGAACTAGATCCCAAATTTCAAAGACAGGGTTAGAAAAAAGTATATATAAAAAAATTTTATTTTATTTATTTATTTTTTGGCCTTGCACTTGCCAGGCAGGTACTGAGCTAAATCCCCAGTCCCTAAAATCTTAATCTTTTTTATTATGTTGAAATATTAGGTATGTACATTGGGTTGAGAAGTACTTGAATTAATGTGATCTGTTTTTTACATTTTTAATGTGGCTTCAAGAAAAAAGAAAATTACATAAAATTATTTCACTTTATACGCCCATTGAAGACAGCATGGGAGTTTTCAGTCTGGTTTTCGCAAGGAACAGGGGTTGTCCCTTGTTTTGGCTACCATTTTCCATGGTGGTACCTTTCCTACATTGTGAGTGCCTTAAAGATTTGGGGTCATTCTTTTTTTTTTTTTTTTTTTTTTGTTTCCTTCTGTTGGTAGCAAAAGAGCTGCTTAGCAAATAGTAAACTGGCCAGAGTCACTAAATCATAGCTAGCTTTCTTGCTTCCTGCCTTCCCTACCCTTCAGATTTTATTAGTACATGTTAAAATTACATAATGATTACATTCATCATGAGGAGTTGGTTGTGGATGTGGCACGTCTCAGTTTTTTTTGTTTTTTTTTTTTTTGTCTTTTTCCTTTTTATCGGTACCGGAGATCGAACCCACAACTGCCTGCTTGCAAGGCAGGCGCTTATGCCATTGAGCTAAATCCCCAGCCCCCCACGTCTCAGTTCTTATACCCTTCCTCTGCCTTTCCTCTCTCTTCCTTCCCTTCCCTTCTTCCTTGACAAAGTCTCATCAAGTCTATACGTTGCCCAGACTGGACTTGAATTTGTGATCCTTCTTTTTGTATGTTTGTCTAACTCTCTCATTTTGTTCTGTTTTTTGTTTTTGGTTTTTTGGGGGTTTTTTTGGAGACAGGGTCTTGCTTGTCATTCAAACTGATTTTAAACTCACTATGTATAACCCAGACAGGTCTCAGAGTGTGGCATTCCTCCTGCCTCAACCTTCCAAATGCTAGAATTATAGGTGTAATTTGTGCTCAGCTAAATTACAGATTTGTTAGCCACAGTTTATGTCTAATAGTTCTTTCTTCATTCTTCAGTATATCGCTTTAGTGCATCTGCTAGTCCAGTAACAATTATTTTATTAAAAGTGAAACTGACCGGGTATGGTGGCGTGCCCATAGCTCTTACCACTTGATGCAGGAGTGTTACAGTGAGTTCAAGGCCAATCTGAATTCCAGAGCAAGACCCTGTCTCCAAAGAACAGCAACAACAACAACCACCCCGTGAAATTGATTGGACTACACTTCTGGGACACTGACAGTTCTTGACTTGTATCTTAGATAACTTTTTTTTTTTTTTTTTTTTTTTTTTTTTTTTGTACTGGGGAATCAAACTCACAAACCTTGTGCTTGCCAGGCAGGCACACCATTGAGCTAAATCCCCAGCCCTACTTTTGGTTTTAATAGTTCCCTTTACTGTATCTTTTGTTCCCATATTGCCATGTGTTTTAGTTGTTGTATTAGTTTGTTTTTCTGGTTTTTTTGAGGCTGGGTCTCAGAAAGTTTCCCAGCGGTCTTGCACTTATGATTCTCCTGAGTCAGCCTTTTGAGAAGCTGGGATTACAGGTATACACCATCTCACCTACCTGTTTTTTCTGTTTTTGTACCAGTATCACACAGCTTTTCTTATGTTTCTTCTTCTTCTTCTTTTTTTTTTTTTTTTTTTTTTTTTTTTTGGTGGTACCAGGGATCAAACTCATGACCTTGTGCTCGCCAGGTAGGCACTTATGCCCCTGAGCTAAATCCCCAGCCCAGCTTTGCTTTTCTTAACTGTGGCTTTGTGTATATCTATATATGAAACTTTTAAATTTTGAAGTAATTTTAGATTTAACAGGAAATCACAAAAACTGGTACAGTAAAAATGGTCATATTTCTCTCCTGCCAGTTCTCATATATATATATATATATATATATATATATATATATTTTTTTTTTTTTTTTTTTTTTTTTGTACTGGGGATCGAACTCATGACCTTGCGCTTTACATGTAGGCACTTATGCCGCTGAGCTGAATCCCCAGCCTCTCTCTGGAACTGTCACATCTTAAAAAGTTGATTATTGGGGGCTGGGGATTTAGCTCAGCGGCATAAGCACCTGCCTTATAAGCAGGCAGTCGTGAGTTCGATCCCCGGTACTGATAAAAAGCAAAAAGACAAAAAAAAAAAGTTGATTATTGGCTGGGCATAGTGGCACCCTTCTGTAATCCCAGCACTCAGGAGGTTGAGGCAGAAGGATTGCTGGGTATTCGAGGCCAGCCACAGCTACATAGTGAGTTCAAGGCCAACCTGAAGTGCATAGTGAAACTTTCTCTCAAAAAGATAACAGCAAACCAAAAAAAAGAGTTGGTCCTGAGCTCCACTATGATGTTATATAGTAGCTCAAATTGCTAGGCATAGTAGTACGTGTCTATAATCCCAGCACTTAGGAGGCTGAGGCAGGAAGATCGTTATGAGTTTGAGGCCAGCCTGAACTACATAGGGATACCATCTCAAAAAACACCAAAACAAAACAAGAAAATTTGTAAACCTGATTTCTTCTCATGGAGGATGTACTTGATGGCCTCTCAAATTTCAGATTGGTTCTTTGCCTCATAGATATAAGGATGAAACAGTTTTGGGGACCATGTATGTTAAGGTGAAATTTAAAAATTATATATATTTTTAAAACATATATATGGACTATTATAATTTGTGCCTTTTGGTGCCTTTTGGTAAGCGCTGTGGCTCTTCTAAATATGGACAGTTTTAGAGAACTAACATGTATAGCAAAAAAAAAAAAAAAAAGCGTATTACTGTAAGGAGCATGGTGTAGAAAGAAACTGGAAATCCCAGCAGCTTCTCAGTGATTGCTAACAGAACAGTTGCTAAGCCCTGCCCCCCTCTGGTGAATGGTAGTTAGCCTTCTGCCGTTCGCAGGATGTAGTGAGGATTAGACGTACAGTTTACAGAAGTTTAGCGGGGAGTCACTACTATTTTATATAACAGCCACATATTCAAAATGCAGAGATTCTGAACTGATTTTTTTATTGTTTTGATACGATGTTTTTTTTTTTTTTTGTATGGAGGATCAAACTCACAACCTCGGGCTTGCCAGGCAAGTGCTTACAAGGCTGAGCTAAATCCCCAGCCTTTGAAATGAATGATTCTTGATAGAGTTATAGCACAACAAATCCATATATATTAGTCAGTTTCCCATTGCTGGGGCAAAATACCTGGCACTCTCAGCTTAAAGCAGAGGAGGTGTACTGTTTATTTTGTTTATTTTTTGAGACAGAGTCATGCTACATAACAGGTTAGCTTCAAACTTGTGCGATTCTGCACCAAGTCACTGAGTGCTGAGATTAGAAGCACAGAGCACTACACTCAGCTAAGGTTTTTTTGACTCACAGTTTGAGAGATTTCAGTCCATGGTTGGCTGGCTCCAAGGCAGGAACTTCATGGCAGAAGGGTGTGGTGAGGAAAGCTGCTCACCTTACGACAGCCAGGAAATGGAACAGAAGAGGGGAGGGGAGACACAAGGGTTCAAAGGTATACCCCCAGTGACTGACCTCTTGCCAAGCTCCAGCTCTGAACCTTGTGTGGTGGTCAAGACCCCAATATTTGAGTCTCTGAGGGCACTTTCTCTTAAGCTATAATACTGTCTCTAATTGAACATGCCATTAAATAGAAAATTCACTTATTGCTAGTAACCATCAAAGCTTACACATGCTCAGTAATAACTTGAATTAGCCTACAGTATAGCCTAAAATCATATAACACATGTGCCTATTTTATAATAAAGTGTTGAGCATCCTGTGAAATTTACTAAAAAATGCTGGCCTTGTGGTATGTGGTGGAACCCCAGCTCTCCCTGATGGTCCAGTGGCCAATTTGGGCATGCTATTGTGTCCTGCTGCCTGTGGACAGGGTAGAATTTGAAGTGAGTTTCTGTTGAACGTGTATCATCACTATCATAAAGTTGAAAAATCATCTCATGGAGCAGTTTCTTTCTGAATTGAACTGCAACATTTGATATTTTTCTTCTGACATTTGTTTCCTGTATAAATTTATATTGGGGTTAAATTTCTTTGAAATATTGGAAACTGTAGGATTAAAATTAAAGCAGTAATGTTTTTATTTCTTTACTTAGAAACTATTAAAGCTTGGCGAGCACTGCTTGTTCTCTTACGTCCTTGTCTTTGTGTACATTGCATTGTAGCATACCTCGCTTGGAGATGGACGGCAAGAAGTCACCTCCCGCCCTGGGCGCTCTGGAGCTCGGTGTAGAAACTCGATAGCTTCCTGTGCAGATGAACAGCCTCACATAGGAAACTACAGACTATTGAAAACAATCGGCAAGGGGAACTTTGCAAAAGTGAAATTAGCGAGACACATCCTTACTGGCAGAGAGGTAAATAAGAATACTGCTTATTTCCCTTATGATGTGTTTATTTCCATGTGGGAGAAAGAGGAAGAGGGTGTGTATTTGGGATTATTTCTAAGCAGTTTAATTTATTTTTAAAGAATCTGAAACATACTAACTGCCAGGCATGGTGGCATATACCCATAACCCTAGCACTCTAGCACTCAGGAGGCTTCATTCAAGCAGTGCTGCTTCACATTCAAGGCAGCCTAGGTAACATAGCAAGTTAAAGGCCAATTTGAGCTACTTAGCAAGATGCAGTTTCAAAAAACCAAAAGAGAGACAGGGACAGAAACAGACATAGAGATGTACTGACTGTCTGGAAGTCCTTTTGTGCTCTCATTACTGTAATGTTAATGAGTGAATATTTTTTTCTTCTGTTTCTTGTTTTGTTGTTTTTTTTTTTCCCTCTGACAAACTGAGAATTGGAACCCAGGGCTTTCATTTCTAGCTACATTGCGTCCAGCCCCTTTTTGTTTGTTGAGACAGTGTCTTATTACATTACTCTGGCTGGGCTGATCTTCCTACCTCAGCCTCCCAGCTACTAAAATTATAGGCATGTGCCAGCATGCATAGCTATACTGAATGAATAATCTTTTCTTTTTAAAATGAGTAGTGTGTTCTTTTTCAGTAGAAAATATCTGCCACCATGATAAAAATTGTTTTGAATTTCATTCATGCAATTATATTTTTTAAGCTCGTGGCACTAAAGCTCAAAACAGTTTTCTATTCTTCCAGGTTTATTTCCTATCTTCCTCACAGTACTTTTGGTGACACATATTTGATAGGTTGTCAGGTGGAAGGCATACTTTTCCAGCTTTTGCATTATTGGCTTTCTGTTTAACAGCATTCCTTATCAAAAGTAAATCATTAGAACTATGACATGAGTTCCCTCCTCACACTGTTGTTGTGTGGAATGGATCCTCGTTGCTGCTTCAATGTAGTTCCTTGCATTTAGGTCTTGGCATCTGCTGTAGTGGTGCCTGGAATATTTGTAACCTTTCCATATGGATGTGGCTTCTGGGAAGTATTCTTTGATAGACAGCCCTCTTACTGGCCCTCATCACATGCTGACATATACTGCCTCTTCCCGTGGTGTGGCACATGGGGCAGTGGCATTGGCTGGAGTACATTCTTCTCTGGTCTAGACGGGAAGTGGTTGTACCTAACAGTACTTGACACTTGCTGGGTATTGGTACAGGCTTTTTAAACGACTGTTGTGGTACTATGGAAAGAAGTTTTTTAGAGAAATGCTGTCCCTGTGTGGGACCCTGCTGATACTTGTGCTAGTACTGTGTGACAGGTATGACATGGCACTGATACTTGCAGCCTGTAGGCCAGGGCTGCTGGAGCAGGAGCCTGGGTTGGTCCTTCAGCCAGCCAGTGGCCTCTGTGTGCTACAGATATTGTCAGTTTTGTGTGTTCTAGGATGTAGAAAAGGTTGGGAAGCCCTGATCTATACCACCTGGAATCTTAAGACGTAACCAGGGCCGGGGCTTTAGCTCAGTAGCATAAGCTCCTGTCTGATAAGCGCAAGGTCATGAGTTTGATCCCCATACCCATCATGAGTTTGATCCCCATACCCAAAAAGAAGATGACCTAACAAAAAATGTACTTCTTTATAGTTCCTCTTAACTTTAGTGAGAAACTCTTGGAGTTTTGGTCAAGACTCCTTGTTGAGATGCCTATACCCCTTTTGGAATCTGTAAACAGTGTGAGTGGGTGCAGCAGTCCCTGTTATGCTTGGTCAAAACTTTCTTGAGATAGGGAACAGAACCTCTGAGTTTAAGCTAGGAATGGTGGCTCACATCTGTAATCCCAGAGTTTGAGAGGCTAAGATAGGAGGCTTTCTATGACTTTGTACCAGCTGGGACTACTTAGAGAGTTCAAGGCCAACCTGAACTTTTGTCTCAAAGCAAAAACAAAAATCCTCTTGTGTTTAGTCCTACCAACCCTAAGTGGTTACTCCAGCTTGTTGCTGTGCAGGAATGGTGGGCTGAGACAGTGGAGGGACTGATCCCTCCACTGGCATCTGGCCTGTTTGTTTACTTCTTGTGGTTCTCGCTCTAGAAATGCTTGAATGTGACTGCCATATTGACTTTGAAACTTCTCTCGGTGTTTAAAAAACTTTAAGCAAAACCATTTACTTGTGTTTTTCTCCTATTGTAGGTATGACCCAGAATTACATAATATTTAATTTAATTATATAGAAACTAAAAGTTCTTGGAAATTTCTCTATTCAGAGATAAGTGCTTGGGCCAGGGATGTAGCAGCAAGTGGCACAATGCCTGCCTGGTAAGTGTGAGGTTGTAAGTTTGATTCCTAGTAGTAAAAAACAAAAAACGCCCACTGAGATATTAGTTTCAGCCAGGTGTGGCAGTACGTTCCAGTAATCTCACCCAGCACTCAGGAACTTGAGGCAGGAGAATCAATGCAAAGTCAAGACCTAAACTACATTTTGCAACTACAGACATTATTTTAACAAAACAGGGGGAATTGTATGGGACATAATTGTGAATTTTTAATTAGTAAGGTTTTCTGGTGTATATAGGACCATAGAGAGCTTTTTTTGTTGTTTATTTTTTCTGTTGCTGACAGATCCTCAGTAAACATTCTTTAACATAACCCTGAGTGCTATTGTTAAGAGTATCTGCATGGGTAACACCACCAGAGTGAACAGGTGTCTGTTTGTCTGTTTTCCCACTGTTGCTGCTGTTGCTGCACAGTGTAGGCAACTGTTGTCTGGTTATCTTACGTGTTTTTGCTGCTGTGACAGATTACCCAAGACTAGGAGTTGATAAAGGAAAGCTTTGTTTCTGATAGTTGTGAAGGCCAGCAAATCCAAGATGGAGGCCCTGTTGCCTTCCTTTCATAATAGACCACACCTATGCTAACAGTTCAGTCTATTCACTTCACAGCTCTAGGGAGCTGTCTTTCTTTCATTTTCAAATTCTTTTTTGTTAGCCAGGTATAGTGATACACACCTATAATCCCAGTACTAAGGATGCTGAGGCAGGAGGATCTCTGTGAATTCAAGGTTAGCTGTACTACAAAATGAGACCCTGTCTCTTAAAAAATCCCTTTCTTTACTGTTGTTACTGTTCTATTTTGTTGGTGGTGCTGTTGATCGAACCCAGGACTTTGTGTATGTTAAGCAAGTGCTCTGCCACTAGGCTACACCCTTGTCCCTCCTGAAGTTCGTACTAATCAAAGACTGAACTCTTGAACAGAGCCTTGAATTTAAAAAAATTATTTTCTACCTTTGTCTTTACTTTCTGGAAGATACCCTTAATTTTTCTTCCAGTCTTTGTGACAGATGTGTTTGTGTTGTGCTCCTACAACTAGCTCTTTAATTTTCTGGGGTGTGTGTGTGTGTGTGAGAGTGTGTGTGTGTGTGTGTGTGTGTGTGTGTGTGTGCACTGGGGATTGAACTCAACCTTGCGCTTGCCAGGCAGGCACTGTACCGCTGAGCCATATCCCTGGCCCTGTTTCTGTTCATTTTTGTTACCGTCTGTGGCATCCAGTTTGGTGCTATGAATGCTATTTCTTCTGTTGACTCCCTGAAGATAGTAAAATCTGTCTTCTATTTTATAAAAGTAGATATTTCTCCCTGCCTATTTCTCTTTTCCTTGAAATGTTTTCTTCTTTCCTGGAGACTTTCTTTGGAAGTCTGGTAATCTCTGGCTATCTATTTGTGTAAGGCAGAGCCTTGCAAAGTTGCTCAGAAGCCCTGTTTACCTGCACAGGACATGCATGACCCAGTTTGCCTGTTGGGAGGTGTCCCACCAGTGCTTAGACCCCAGATATCCGTGTCTTTTGTTTTCTTGTATGGGAGTGTTGGGTTTCTCTAAACAAGAATCCCCTCTGCCTGGCAGAGCTGGTTTTCCCAGTACTTAATGACAGTCTGTCACTTAATCCCCTTTTCTACCCTCATGCTTCTCTCCTGTTCCCCAAGTCAGAGGCTTGTTAGTTCTCACAGTGAGTTTCCAGCCTCATAAGAACCGGCAGTACCTGTGAGGTCAGTGAGCAGAAGACTTCCTGTGTAACTTGGGAGCTTGTGGTCAGCCCAGTGACTTCCTGCCTTCCCTGTACCTGCGAGGACCACTTGTCTGGTGTCCCTCTCCAGCAGCAGCATATAGATCACACAGTCTCTGCATTGTTGTTTCTTCAGCTATGTGCCTGCTCTGTCAGAAATTATTGGCACAGCTTCCTCATTGTTGTCTTCTCCACCTGTGTGTTTTTACACATGTGTCCCATGACTGCCAGTTCTTTACATTTCCCACTGTCCTGTCCATAAATGATAGAAGTCTAGAAGGGAAGACAGAAAGGGTTAGGATTTGAACCTTATTTTCTCTCAGCCTCTAAGTACTCACTAAGCATTTATTACTGATTACAAAATGATCAAACATGATCCTGGGGTATACTTCAGATAATGATTGTGTTTTTAGTCAAATGGTATGTTTTTGTTAAAATTTTGTTGGTGAAGACTGCATTAACAACTTTAGAGGAGGTTTAAGAATAGAGAAAAGAGAATCCCAGTCATATTTTGAATCTCATCATTTTCATTTTCAAGTATACTCCATATTCATATGAATGTTTTTTCAACATCTTTTTGCCATAATCTTGTTTCTTGATTCCCCTCAGAATTTTGTCCTAAGTAGTGATGAAGAGCAGTGCCATTGAGTAGAACAATTCTCAAGCTTTTCTCATAACTTCTTTAAAGTTGAAATTGAGGTCTCCCTTAAGCCTATTTATGTGTGGGCAGTTGCTGTTGATATTTAGCATATTAGAACTTAATATTAAGTTTAAAATACAATAATCCTATTACGTTAATGCACAACGTATTTTTATGAAAAACAATTTTTCCAAAACATTATGAGAAGGGTTCCATGTTTTAATTTTTTGCTAATCCCTACTGTCTGGCTTGATAGTAGCTGGATTCGCTCATCTGCTCTGTATTCAGACTATTCAGATATGCTATTGTAGTA